TGTGAACATTACAGAGAAGAAAGACACAAATGGTTAACATTAAAGATGATAATTGGTATACAAAAGCATGATTGTTGATGCTACAAATAAACTGAACATATGGTCATTATTTCGTGGAAATCAACATCTCACGTTGAATAAAAGCAGCGTTAAGTAACGTGACGTACATTTTGGACACGAACGTGCTTTCTTCTTCAAGCAAACCAAAAAGTTCCCTTTTAGTAGATGCACATGTATGATTGATCAAAGCAAAAGTATGACACGGCACAAGCATTTCTAACTACATGCCATCCAAGAAAAATTCCAAAATCAACAAAAATGTGAGATTTGACCTCTGGAACTCGTTTTATCCAAGAAGTGCCATCCACAAAAATGAAGTCCACGATTATATGTCCACAAAATCTACGTTTGCTAAGGTTTGTGCACAAAACAACACTTAGAAATGCTTCTGACGACTCTAGAAAGGAGGGACGATTCTGACGACTCTAGAAAGGTGTTTCGTCTTCACTCAAAACCCTACGACAATGAAGAAAAGCAGACGGATTCTTTGTAATGGAAGAATCTATTGGGGGTTGTAGTGGTAAGAACGTAACTCGAGGAAGCAAAGGAATAGTGGAGTAAACCTTAAATAATTTGCAGATCCATTGAAAAACAAATCTGGGTAGAGCAGGTTAGAGACAACGAGAGTTTCTGGGCAATTATTTTCCTTCAAGATCTCTGGCAACCATATCTGAAATTCGAGAAGAAACATGGTAGTTGAGAATAGTTCTTCGAGAAGAAACATGGTAGATGTAGAAGATAAACTGGGGATTTAGGTATTATTTTCAATCTCTTTTTGTTTACAGTCGATAGATGAGAAGATATTGTTCTGTTTATTATTATTAAAGTTTAAAATATATAGTAAAGGAAACAAAATTTGGTGTGTGAAACAATATTGTGAGAGAAGTTGTTTAGTTAAATGTTTAAGTTAGGGAGTGTTTTGTCTATTCACAGTCAAAAACGGTGCCATAGTCTCAAACGGTGCTAAAATGTAATAACAAAGATGGAAACGGTGTGAGAGTGCTAATATTTCATATATATATATATATTACTCATCGAACTACTGTAATTGTACTAATTCAAAATTTTGCTATGAATGGCATATTCATTTTTTGATTCAACTATTAAGTTAGAATTTGTGATCTAAGTGTAGCAAAAGCAGTACACATTGAAATAAAGGGATCTCAGCAAAAATGAAAAAATCTGGTTTTTATTGCCATGATTCCATGCCACACTTTACCTACACCACAAACACAATGAGATGCGTGAGTATTATCAAAAATACTCAATGAAGCGATTATCCCATCTACTGGGCTATGGACACAAGCGTTAAGATCACAATCACACACAAACGAATACCAAACAACCAAACCATGCAATCAAAAACACAAATCAATGCTCACAGAAAACTGGTGTCAGTAGACACAACCACCAGACAACACCACTTCTACCTTGGTGACGACCGATACCCACACTTGATGTGAATCGACACCCTACAAAACTTCATTACGACCAGAATTTGGACACATGCGTTACAATCATTATACTTCATTTCTCAATGGTTCCATATTTATGAAAGAAATAAATTATCATATATATATATATATATATATATATATAATTATATTTTCCACCTATGCCATGAGTTGAATTTTTTAAAACGGATATAAACTATTTAATCTATGAGAAAAATGAAAAGAAATCTTGAAACTGGTCAAAAATTTAGACTTAAATAATATATTTCTTTTCAACAAAAATACGTTCAACAAAAATTCTTACTACGTATCGGATTGAAATGTTTCACTTACTATAATCATCTATCAAAACTTTATTTTAAAATATATAATATATCCATTTTTATACTAAATATAATTCAAACTGTGTTATAGCACTGGTTATAGTCTAATATTAACTTTTGTCTAGCAATATTACTGCATAAGCTTTAGTTTCCCTACAATGAATCTGATGTTGCATTTCGAAACTCTGCATTATCTGGAAGTGAACCCTCGAGTTTATTGTTTAATATCTCGATGTATGAGCGCTTTTAAGCCCTCAAAACTTGTTGGAAAGAGAACCGAAAGATTGTTATGTGAGAGGTCAAGCTTATCAAGGCTTTGCAAGAGGCTGAGCCCTGATGGGATTTTTCCATCGAGCTGGTTGTGGCTGAGATCTTGATTATTTCATTGAGTCAGCTTTGTGAGGCGGGGAAAACATTCGCCGAATTTGTTTCTGCTTAGGTTCATGTCATGAAGCTTTAAAAAGGAGTCAAAAGTTTGCGGGATCTGGGAGCTGAAATTGTTTAAGGATAAATCAAGAACCTCGAGATTGGTTAAGAAACTTAGAAATGTAGGAACTCTTCCTGATAGTGGATTCCCATTTAGTAGTAGCTTCGAATAACCTGCGAGATTTTCAATTTCTTATGGAAGTTCACATGTGAGGTTGTTGCTAGACAAATCCAGCTCAACTAAGTTTCCAAACTCAGAAAGAAGTGGACCCGAGGAAGAACTGATATAGAGATTAAGTTTTACCAAGTTGGTGAAATTTCCAATGGAAGTGGGTGAAATTTACAAAATGTTTGTACTAAGGCCTACCTTAACAAGGTTGGGTAAGTTTCCAATCTGAGAAGGAAGTGGACCCAAAAAAAAATTGTTATAGAGGTTGAGGTTTACGAAGTTGGTTAAAAGTTTTTCTTAACAAAACCTTAAGGCTAAAAGCCTACCATTAATCATGCTCTTATATACGTTAGAACATTCGGTTGATTATAATATTCATTGTGCAGTAATATATATATATAAAGTTAGCTTTTTCTCTCTTCTCATGATGCCACCTAAGCATCCACATAAACCACATTTTTTCTACATTAAAATAAATTTAAAACATTCATTTAGTGCATATTTATGCTACTTATTTAATTAATAGAAAATTTATATAAATAAAAATAAATTATGTAAATAAATGAAATGTTAAATAAGAAATACTTTCATTTTATATTAGTTAGTGGTAATAATATAATTCAACTTTCATTTTAAATTGATCATAGTTTAAAATTTTAAATGTGTTACTGACTTTAAGAATGTAAGTAAATTTTCAATTTATGGTAGAATAAAAACAACATTTATGTAATTGTACATATAAAATCTTAAAGGGGAAAAATAAAATTGAAAGCGAAATATTAATTTATAACTTGATGAAAAAGAAAATGATTTTAATCCAAATTTAAATATTGAAAGATAATAATTCAAGAGAAAATAACTATAATATGTTTTGAAAATCAGTTAAAATAAATAAAATATCACAAAAATATATATAAACCTTCCGCGCGCAGCGCGGGTCAACTGCTAGTCTATATATATAAAGTTAACTTTGCTCTCTTCTCCTTAAGCCACCTCATCATCCTAATCATCATCCACCTCATTTTATTATTTAATTTTAAAAATTAATTATATCATTTTATCATTTAGTTTTAAGATTTAGACATATGTAAATAAGTTTTCTAAAAGAAATATGAAAGGTCTTTTCTTATATTTTATATTATAAAACTAAAAATAATAATTGATTAAAAAACTTACTAATTATTGATAATACGAACTAATATATAAATAATAGCTTATAGTTTTTAAGTAAATATTTTAGAATGAATATATATATATATATATCAATTAAAAATAATATGACACAAAATTTGATTATATTTACACAATATAAACCTAAATTATAATGGGATTTAACGGGAATAAAACAAAAAATAATGAATATATATATATTCATTAAAAATAATATTATGATTTGTGTAATTTATGTCTCAAAAAATTCAAAATTCTCCAACATAAAAGAGATAGGTTGGGACAAAACATGAATTCTCATTTTAAAAACACGTATAAAAATGGTAACAATAAAAATAATATTTCTTTAAAAGGTTTCCAATATGAATTCAACTAATTGTTTTCAATACATCATATATGGTAAACTAATAAACAAAATAAAAAATTAACAATATTTCATAAAAATTAAAAAGTAAAAAAACATAATTAAATGAAATGAACTAAATATAAAGTAAATTATACTACTATGTTAAATTTTAAAATTGTTCCATATGAAAATACAGAAAATATATTAAACAAAAAATCAGAAACGAATATATCTATATATAAAGTTAACTTTGCTCTCTCCTCCTTAAGCCACCTCATCATCCTAATCATCATCCACCTCATTTTATTATTTAATTTTAAAAATTATTTATATAATTTTATCATTTAATTTTAGATTTAGACATATGTAAATAAGTATTTGGTAGGAACCCTAATAACACATGTTTCTTTATGATTCTCCACCATACTTCTGTTTAAACCACATATATTTCTTTATTTAGTTCATTTTATTAAATATTATACACATTTAATTTGTCAACTACTAATGAAGCTAAAACTCAACATGTTTTCTATACAATCACAATCTAAGATTAAAAAAAAATATGTTAAAGTGAAAAATAAATAAAAAATAAAATATGAACCAATTACTCATAAACAATATAATAGACCTCACACGCGTAACGCAGAAAACTGACTAGTATATAATAAAACAGACTAAAAAAAGGTCTATTTCTCCAAAACAGTTAAAAGTTTAAAACTTTCGAATACAAATCGAAATTGCATTGATGAACACATTACACATACTTCCATCTTTCACAAAAACAAATAATCAAATTGATATTAAAAAATATTTAAGAGATGACTACATGTTATAAACTATAGTAATAATTATTTATAACATAATTTTAAACAAAATATTATTCAGCCAAAGCAAAACAACTACAAGATTTAGTATATTCACATTACGCAGCCATAATTATAACTCTAGTAAAACTCAAACGTTTGGCTAAAATAGCATAACTATATTAATATTTATTAATCACATAATTTATCATGTGTTTAACTTTGTGTTTTATTTTAATTGTAAAAACCTTATATTATAAGTTTTTAGGTGAATGCCGTTGAAATTGACAACATTGTTGGCCGAGACATTGGATCTGCTTGTAAGCACGACAACGCCATTTCCACCATCTTCACTAACTTCTCTCTAATCTTCGCCTCTGGTTCTCCTAAACGCTCATCGGAAATGCTTCTCAGCGACGGAGTTTCTCCCGGAGACGACGATGACAAAGCCGAAACCAAATCTCCCGGATGTTTCCCCTTTATCACTTCCAGCGTCAATACTCCGAAGCTATACACATCGCATTTCTCCGTCACCTTCATCGCGTAAGCCAATTCTGTTCAGAAATTTTCAATTTCATAAGCTCGAAATCGATTTTAAAGATTTCAATTTCATTGATTTAGATATACCTGGAGCGACATAGCCATAGGTTCCGGCGACGGCGGACCAATTTGAGGAATCCATCTTGAGAAGCTTCGCTGTACCGAAATCGGAGATCTTAGCTTTGTAATCGTTATCGAGAAGGATGTTGCCGCTGCTAATATCACGGTGGACGATCGGAGTTGATCTGTCATGGTGCATATACGATAACGCGTACGCCACACCTTTCACTATATTGATCCTTTTGGTCCAATTGAGTCGTTTCGCTTCTTTGTCATCAGCTAACAGTTTGTTTAAACTTCCTTTTTCCATGTACTCGTAGATCAGGAAAGTGTGGCGGCGGTGAGAGCAGAAGCCGAAGAGCTTCACCACGTTGCGGTGACGGATCTCTGTTAAGGCTCTTACTTCGTTTAGGAACTCTTGCTTCACCACTGGCTTTGATATCTCTTCGTTCATTGTTTGGTGTAGCTTTTTCACTGCTACGGTTGCGCCTGGGAGGTTTGCTTTGTATACTTTGCCGTATCCTCCGGTTCCGATTAGGTATTTTGGATCGAATTCTTTGGTTGAGTTTATGATCTCTTGGTATTTGACTTTGCCATCATAGCTAAAGATGGACAAGTTCTCTCCAGTTTCAGCATCCAAGTTGTTGTTTCCATTGATTTGTTTTCGTTTGCGTAGATAGTAGGCAAATGTCCCGGCGCATATAGAGAGAATGAGGAGTGCTCCTAGGATCGGCACTAGAATCCACACAACAACGTTGCCTTTCTCCTTCGGTTTCTTGAACCCATTGGAAGTGATGGGGCATGGCTTCAACTTTTGTTTTGGAACATTACTGCATAAGCCTCTGTTTCCTTCTAATGCATCTGCGGTTGCGTTTCGAAACGCTGGGTTGTCTGGAAGTGGACCGTCGAGGTTATTGTTTGATATATCGATGTATATTAGCTCTTTCATGCCCTCAAAACTTGTTGGAACGAGACCTGAGAGATTGTTGTGTGAGAGGTCGAGCTTCACCAGCTTCTCGAAGGAGCTCAGTTGTGATGGGATTTCGCCGTCGAGCTGGTTGTGGCTAAGATCAAGATGTGTTAACTGAGTCAGCTTTGTTAGTCTAGGGATGCGTCCATCAAACTGGTTTCTGCTCAGGTCCATGTCAAAGAGCTTACTAAAGGAGTCAAAGTTTTGTGGTATCTGAGAGTTGAATCTGTTTGACGATAAATCCAGAGACTCAAGGTTGGTCAAGAAACTTAAACTTTCAGGAACTCTTCCAGAAAACTGATTCCCATTAAGTCGTAGCCTTGACAAATTCGTGAGATGTCCAATTGCTTCTGGAATTTCACTAGTGAGGTTGTTGATAGATAGATCTAGCTCACCCAGTTGTATCATGTTCCAAATCTCAGTGGGGATAGCACCTGTGAGGTTGTTGTTTGACATGATGAATGCAACTAGGTTTGGGCTCTTCGCCCAGTTGCCTGAAATCTCACCATGGAAATTGTTGTGGCTTAGATCAATGAAATTGAGAAGTGGGTATATCCCGAAAGCTTCAGAAATATCGTCAGTGAATCTGTTCCCTACGAATCTTAATCTGGTCAAGCTCTTGCAATCCTTCAAGCTTTTTGGGATAGGACCTTCGAGGTGATTATAATCTAATGTGAGGTTCTGAAGCTTGCCACCTTTGCAAATGGTTTCAGGCAAGAAACCAGTGAAGTTGTTCCCGTCGAGTTGCAAGACAGTCAGCTCTGAAGAGTTTGCAACTCCTAGTGGGATTGGACCAGAGAGCTTGTTTTCACGGAGGAACAATATTTGCAACTTGGTAAAGTTACCAAAGGAATCAGGAATAGAACCTGTAAGTTTGTTATTACTTATCTCTAAATCAATCATGGATTCCATGTTGCCTAGTTCTGGGGGAATGACACCAGTTAGTTGGTTTTGGTAAAGATGAAGAAGGGTTAGGTTCTTGAGATTTCCTAAGGAAGAAGGAATTGAATCAGTAAGGTTATTTGTATGAAGGCTAAGGGAATATAGACTGGCCATGTCACCGATCTCAGGGGGGATTTTTCCGGAAAGTTGGTTTTCAAACAAGTTGAGAAGAGTTAATTTCTGTAACTTTCCAAAAGTGGAAGGGATTTGGCCAGTCAGGTTGTTTCTATCTAGGCATAGCTCAACAAGATTGGTTAAGTTTCCAATAACAGAAGGAAGGGGACCATAGAGAGAGTTGTTAAAGAGGTACAAGTAAACCAAGTTGGTTAGGTTTCCAATGGAAGTAGGTAAAGGTCCGGACAAGAAATTGCTATACAAGGCAATCTCCTGAACTGAAGTTAAGTGACCGATCTCAGATGGAATCGACCCATTTAACTTATTTTCAACAAGATGGAGGGTTTCAAGGTTTCTTAAATTACCAAGCTCTGGTGGGATTTCTCCGGTTAATTGGTTTATAGAGAGGTCAAAGTAGATGAGTTTAGAGAGGGATCCAAATTGGGGAGGGATGGTTCCATAAAAACGGTTCATGCTAAGATCGATATAAGCAAGGTTTGGGAGAGAAGAAAAAGGAAACTCTTGAAAAGTACCTTCAATAGCTGTGTCAGTAAGGTTTAACCTTACGAGACTCCCTTGCGTATTACAAGAAACACCATACCATCTAGTACAAAAGCTAGTATTAGTCACCCACGACGCCAGCTTCGACGAACTTGTCTGGTTCGTGAAAGTAGATTTCCATTTCAGAAGAGCGTTTGCTTCTGAGATTGTCGCGGAAACTAAAATAGAACAGCTCAAAAGTATGGATATGATCAAAAGAAAACAAAGATTGTTAGGATTCTTCTCTGCCAAACCCATTCTCACTCTCTCTATTACTCTCTTTTTGTTTCTCTCTTCTTGTTTGTTAAATCGTATCCAAGTTTTGTCTCTTTTATAATCTTCAGTTTCACTCAGTAATGGACTTAGCGTCGTCGGTCGTCTCCTTGATAGTGAAGGTCTACCCTGTTGAATGGGTCATTGTGTTTTGGAAGATACCACAAAAACTAGTCTGAATATTAAGTGGTAACGAAGACTTGCTTAGTCCGTGACGACTGGGATATGATAAAACATGGATTTGATATGGTCGTTAAGACGTTAACTGTATTGTATTTTTGTTTCCCTCCAATATTCTTGGCGTATGTTTCACGGAAACAAGAAAATTAAGGTAGTAGTAGTCAATTTTCAACTTTTCTTTTTAGGATTTTAATTGGTCAAATTGTGTAAGGTTTTAATATTCACTGGTAGAATTATAATGGTTTAAATATTAAGGGACTAATTTACAATCATTTATTTAATTAGAAGTTAAATTAATTAAGCATGTTACTCTATTATTATGTAAATTAATTAGCGTTATTCGATTAAAAATTTTAAAATATTTTAAACTAAATTCATAGGGCTATTTGAATTCTTTATTTTTAGTTAATAATGTATTGATAACTTTAAACAGTTATTTTTTTGAAATAATTTTTTTTTTAATAGAAAAACCATCGTTAAGGAACGGATGGAGTATAAAAAATTACCTAATTTAAGACGAAAGGTATCATATATTATATTGAATCGGTTTATTATGTACTTGAGGAGAAGAAAACTAATTTTCATACAAAGTTAAGTATTTTGTTTCGATTCATATACTTGATATTCACTTTATAGTTGGAAGACAAACCAATATCCCACATTGGAAGATTAGAAAAAGACGTTTCTAATATATAACTCAAGACCAACTTCAATTAGTATAAGATCGTTTGGGTCATGAATGAGCCAAATAACAAATCCGTGTGGGTTTAAGTATATTGATCCAAAACGGACAATATAATAAAAAATCAAAATGAAGATTGCGACTTTTATTTATCATATAGTTAAGAAGTCCATAATAACATATCATAATTCCATAGTAAGCAATTGATGGCTAATAAATAGGAGAAATATGATGAAAAAACTATATTACGCATGTCGTTGAGTCCATTCCCGGGCTGTCTCCTCAAATTGGGGCTTATCACTCTTAAACTGTTGTCCAATCTCAGCTACAAGAGGGTCATCTGGGTTTGGATCCGCCAATAGTGAAGATATGCACATAAGCACCTGTTTGTTTATATATTAACAAAAAATTACCAAAACTAATATTAATCGTATGATGAAAAACAATAAAACATAATGCGAAAGAAACAACATGCGACTACCAAACGAACAACACCATAAATTTATAAGTCAAGTTCTGAACCTTTTCAACAGTGAGAGGAGGAGTCCAATTGTTTTTAAGAATGTCAATGCAAATTGATCCTTGAGAATTGATATTTGGATGGTAAATTGGAGTTTTGAAGGTAAACTGTATAAGAAAACAAACAAGAACCAAAACATTAAACATGTTTTACTTTTGTAATTTAGGAACACAAATTTACCTCTCCAAATTTGGAAATTTAACAACCTTGGGTGGTTTAAAAGGGTAGTCATTAGGAAACTCAATGTCGATGGGAAACACACCACCAGCATAGGGAGTATCAACGGGTCCTTGAATGAATGTATTCCATTTGAATATGTTTGATTCGTCTCTACCTATATTGATACATACCAACAAACAATATTAGTATAGTTGGCCCCCAAAAAAATTATAATATACTTTCCTCCATTTCAAAATAAGTATCGTTTTAGACTTTAAGTTTTGTTTTAAAATAAATGTTGTTTTCTATTTTCAATGTAAAATGTTTGATAGAATTTTCTAATTTTATCTCTACTATAATGTATTGACCAATAGGATCGGTTCCGCCCAAAATGGGAATGGACTAAGGTTATGAACTTAAAATCTATAATCTGATGATCGAGTTATACAATGTATTTATAAGATGTAAGACGAAAAATTTAATGGTTTTCTTAAATTGTGTGAAAAAAACTTAGAATGACACTTCAATTGAAGCATAGTAAATATTACATATAAGTGTGGTTGTTATGAAAAACATGCTATTTTTTTTAGAAATGAAAATACAATTTTTTTATATAATATAGAGAGAGGGAAAAAAAAAACAAAAAAGAGAACTACTAACCAACACTGTAATCAGATTTAGAGGAATTCAACTCCTTGAACTCCTTCTCAATTCGCTGCATTGCTCTAGCCTTCGACATTTTCTTACAATTACTAACCAATCTATGTTCCTTTGCATCAAATGAAATAAGTTGTTAGTAAGATGGTGTTATAAAATGTGAAGGACAAATTGTTAAAATTGGATTAAAATGAAATGCTTACTTGGAAGATGATTAGTATGAATTGTGTTGGATAAAATGAAATGGTATTGGGGTTATATATAGTATCACAAAATTAACATTGTAATCTCTTGGTAATTATGTAATCACTAATAATAACTTATTGATATCTTTGCTTTGAAGTGTTATCTACATGCGTGTTAAAATCAAATCTTTCCCACATAAAGAGCCAAAATTAACCATTAATTGTTTGTCCTTAATTTTTTGGTAGAATAGTTTGTCCTTAATTATTTTAGTTAATACTTTTAATTAATAATTTTAAAGTAATGTATTGATTGGAAAAAAAAATTCTGCGATTTAATTAGCCAACTCATTAATTAAAAAAATATTTATTCAAAATAAAAATGGGCGAAATTAATTACATTACTTTAAGGACTAACTATGTAACAAACCACGCCATACATTAATTTTATAAATAGTTTACAAATGTTATATTTTATAAATTCTGTTAGTTGTAATATTTCCAAATGACTCTATATTTTAATATATACTAGATTTTAACCCGCGGTATACCGCATGACGATATTCCTAAAATGTATTTTTTAATAATTTTGTTTGGTATATAAGAGTGTACAACTATATTTGATTGTTAATTCTATGATTTAACCCGTATAATATTATATGATAATTTATTCTTTATATAATCGTAATTTGATCAAATTAATTAAATAAGTATAATATTTAAAATAATGAAATGATATTGACATAATATTCGTTTACATAGTATAATTTCATATTAAAATATTTTGTGAGTTATATTATAGTAGACCACCCGTAAAAAAACTATAATCATAATTATGTAAATTATAACTCGTTGTGCTACACAATTATCAATAATACTTTAGTACATCCATTTTTGTTCGTTTGAGTAATATACATCCATTTCTAAAAATTCAAATTGCAACATATGCAAATAAAAAATATATATTTTTATTATACATATGTTTATGTAATAATATAAATTTAAAAACAAATAAGATCATATAAAAATGTTGGAGAAGTATTTGATTTATTCGGGAGAGATTTTAGGAAATTTATTAAATGTAATAAATATTGATTTCTAGTTTTGCAATTTTATTATGATTTAATTATAAAATTTATCTTAAACTTTTTCTATTTAATCAAATGGCAAGAGGTTAGTTATGAAAATATCACAAAATAAAAGGGTAGAACACTAAAGGTACTTCAAAAATGTTAATACAGATTAGAAATTTAGAGTGTATTTAAAAGAGCATTAAAATTTTAAGAATATTGTAAATTTATATATTCTAATAACAGAGAAAGTTGAAAAATAAAAAGTTGGAAATTGTGTATATTAAAATAAAATGAGGTGTGTTTGGTTAGTGGGTTTTTGTTTTTGTTAAAATTACTCAATTACCTCTTCAATATGCGTGTTACGAGTCGTAGCCTTGATTGGTAATTTCTGCATAATCGCGTTAGAAAACGCCATCATGCGTGTTACCAATCGGAGCCTTAATCTAACGACAAGCTCATTTCATACCCGAACAATTTCAAAAATGCAGATTTCTATCTGTACAAAGATTCAATGCAAATTTATACCCAAACTAAAACAAAATTCAGATGTTATACCCAATTAGTACAAATAGTGTCAATTTCAGACTCTACATTAACAAATGTTGACTCATATACCATGTGTCACATTGAGATGCTGACTCAAATAACACATGTTAAATGACTCGTAACGTAAGATTGAGGTGGCATTGTGAACAGAAAACTATGTCGTTTTAATATTGTGATTTTAATTTTTCCAAAAAATGGGACACCAATATTACAATTATAATTTTATTTTATTTTTAAAAAATAATTTTAAAATTAAAATTAACAATTACAAGTACGATTTTTAAATGTATTACATTTGTAGTTACAATTTAAAATTTTTAAAAAATGTAAATCTAAAATTCAAAATTATAATTTATTATTTTACTATATTTATAAATAAAATTGTAACGATTTTAATTACAATAAAAAAAAACTAAACATTAAAAATGTAAACACCCCCGTATATTGTGGTGTATACAAAGAGGTTTATAAGAACTGTTCTGGTCATATATGTCACCAGAATGCACTTATCTTTTCATATCAACCATCCCTAGATGATTCTCTGAAAAATAAGTGCACTTTGGTGATACAATTTGGCAAAAATGATATTTAAACCCACTTCGCTTCCAGCAGCAAATTCCTGATATTAGGGTGTTCTATTAGTTTTTAAGCTTTTTTATAATTGTTATCATTACAATCGTATTTATAAATGTAGTAAATTCAAAAATTATAGTTTTAGATTTTAGATTTAAAAATTAAAAATTAAAATTTTAAATTTAAATGTAATACACTTCAAAATTGAAATTGAAATTTTTAATTTTTTTTTTAATTAATTTATAATTTATAATTGTAGTTATTTATGGTGACTATTTTTTGGAAAAATTAAAGTCACGATATTAAAACGACGTCGTTTGCCGTTCACAATGCCACATCATTCTCACATTATGAGTCATATGACACATGTCATCTGAGTCAGCATCTCAATGTGACACGTGGCACATGAGTCAGCATCTAATAATGTAGAGTATACAATTAGCACTATTTGTACTAATTGGGTATAAAAATTGAATTTTGTTTGAGCTTAGGTATAAATTCGCACTGCTTTATACATATAAAATCAGCACTTCTGAAATTGTTCGGGTATGAAATGGCCCTTTTCCTGCTCAAACTTATAGGATCAATGCATTGGGTGCACCAAACTCATTTAAAGCAGTATTGCTTTTAGAATAAGAAGTAACCAACAAAGACGATTGAACAAAATTCAATGGAGTAGTGCACTATCAAAACCTGAATCCAAACTGAAATCGACAGTAAGTAGGTGTTTGTAACGGATACATATTTGAATTCTTCTTTCATGTGTTAGATTGCTAAAGTAAAAAACCAGCCACAAATGTGTTAGTTGTTGATTCCACACACAACTCGATATTCTAGATGAATGGATGAGCAATGCTGATGTTTTCTTACACTAACTTAGACTTTGTGATCTAAGAGTGGCAAAAGCATTACACATTGGAAAAAAGAGATCTCAGCAGCAATGAAATAATCCGGTTCTTAACAAAATTACATAGAGAAGATCGAAGAATTATAACATTCAAGAAGCAAACAGATCCTATACCTCTTCAGCACAATTAAACCGCAACATTGGGCGAAGCTGGATACTCTTCATACCCTGTGATCCCTGTAATTCTAATCCTTGTATTTGGCTGCAAAGTCAAGTCAGAAATCACAATGTAAATGTCGTTATAGCAATCAGTGGATTGTAAAACTAGATAGTTCGATTTTAGCAGTAGTAAGCAGATTTGTCAAACAACGATATACCTGTCGGTGACCAATATTTCTTCGGTACTTCTTCTTAGGCTTATACTTGAAGACTACCACTTTATCATCCAGACCCTGCAACAACAAAAGACATTCCAGTTATTCCAGTTTAGAGGCAACAACATAGTCGAAAAAACAAAACCACAAATTATTGATTTACCTGATTTTCCACAACAGCATGTACAGTGGCATTGGTCACAACCGGTTTGCCGATGTAAGTGTGCGTCTTTGTGCCAACAAGCAACACTTTATTAAGAACAATCTGCACAAAAGAAGAAGCAAAGACGAAAATTTCAGGAATCGCCAAAAGAGCAACAGAGAAGAACAGCTTAACAATGTTAACAACATAGACAATAGATAGAACTTATACACAAGCTACACAGGTTATACTCAATATTCCATAGTTACACCATCATCTCACAGAAATTGACAAAGAAGAACTCAAATCACTAAAAGGAATGTGCAAATTACCTGATCATCAACATTTGCATCTTTCAGCCTCTGAGTGTAGAGATATCTCCCTGGAAACACAATGTATTGCCGTCCACCAACCTATCCATTTCAAAGAAAACAACACTAAACTCAATCAAGATATAGCAAACCAGAGAAGTCATATTCATAATAACTAATTCTTAAAGAGTATATCACACAAAAACACAGTCCCTCACACTCAAACTCTAAATCAACCAAAACGAATCCAAAGCAAACTCATCAAATCAACCAAAAATAGTTGCAAATACAGCTCTCACTAAGAATTCATCACTCATTAGGCCACAAAACACAGTCTCAAACTATCAAACCAACCAAAACTAGTTGCTAATACAGCTCTCACTAGGCCACAAAACACAGACTCAAACTATCAAATCAGCCAAAACTACTTGCAAATACAGCTCTCACTAAGAATTCATCATTCACTAGGCAACAAAACACAGTCTCAAGCTATCAAATCAACCACAACTAGTTGCTAATACAGCTCTCACTAAGAAGTCATTACTCATTAGGCCACAAAACACAGAAACTATCAAATCAACCAAAACTAATTGCAAAATTCCAAAACCTAAAACCGAAATTGAGAATTTTTTCTTCCGTTTGGATCCAACAAGCTCACCATAACAACAGCGAAGATCTCTTCTCGTTTAGGTTTATCCTCCGCAACCTCCGAAACATCGGAAACCACCACGGCTTCGATATCGGTAGTCTCAGGCTCAGCTTCGACGACTGATTCAGCGAATTTAGGAGCGACGGGGAATGAGGTTCGAGACGTCGACGAAGTGGAAGGAGCGAGAAAGCCAGACACAGGTTTAGCCAAATTCAACGAAGGTTTAGAGAGAGAACACATTATAGTGCTTGAACGGCGTGAATTGACATTGCAATGAGAAGCGAAAGCAGAGCATAGAGAGAGTGTGGCTGAAGAAGACGCCATTGTTATTAGCCTGAGAGAGAGAGAGAGAGAGCTCTGAGCTCAAAACTTTGAAGCTCGACGGAGAATAAATCCTCTCAGTGTTATCCTATCCACTTAACTCTTAAACTACCGATATACCCTTCCGTCTTCTTCAAATTGGTTTAATTTTATTTCTAGGCTTGCAATTTCGGTTTTCCGGTTAAATTCGGTTATTTTTGGTTATAGATTTTGTAATTCCAATTTCGGTTTTCTTAAGATTTGTGACCAAAATTAAACTTATGGCTAATAATCTAGATTTTTAAATGTGCTTTATATATTTACTTAATGGTATCAAACTATTAATTCTGAAAATTTAAACTATACCCCTGGCCTCTTCAAAGTTTGTTTAATTTTGTTTCTAAGCTTGCAATTTCGGGTTTCTTGTTGATTTTGGTTCAGATTTTGGATTTTCCGATTTTGTACAATACTGTGCATCCAAATTACGGTTTTGTGCGCTTTGTGACCAAAATTTACTTATTGAACTGAATTTTGGTTAACCTGGTTATGCAGTTCGATTTCACAAAATTTGGTTTCAATTGGAGCTTGGTTTAGGTTGGTATAAGACTTTATTTACTGTTTCGAACATAACAAAAATTCGGCTTTGGTTTAGTTCGGTTCGGTTTCTTTTAGCATTTCTATTAATTTCTTTGGATCTGAAGCAAAATTATCCATTGCTTGGGACAAAAAAATAGTTCTACAGTGGGTTATAACAAAATTCGGATTTCAAATTGATGCAATCCGGAATTGGTTCTCTTCGGTTCGGTTTCTTTGGAACTAAAGAATAATTATATGAAGCAAAATTATCCATTACTTGGGACAAAAAATTTGGACAGTTACTCATCTACAAGAATAACAAAGGAAAGCAATAAAAGAAACCAGAAAATTTTTTTCTGTAGTCTTTAGTTTCAAAATATATGTAAGAGAAATAAGAAAACTGAAATTGAAGGTGGATGATGATTGGTTAGTCATCAGATTTTTTACCATCAACACCAAAAGCATCAGCTATGTTGAAGTTCAAGTTTTTCATCATGGTTCTGCTTCTCCCAACTCCATCTCCTTTCCTCATCATTGCTGTAAACTCCGAGAAATCGATCTTCCCGTCCTACAAATATTCAAAAGCTCGCTCGGTTATAATACAGTTTACATAGAAGGTGGAGGAAAACAAAGAGAAGAAGGAGAGTGGTTTACATTGTCAAGATCAATCTCTTTGATCATGTCATCAAGAGGTGTATCACATAGACCAAACTCTGTGCAAGCTGACTGAAGCTCATCGATCGTGATGTATCCGCTTCCGTCTTTGTCAAAGTATGAAAATGCAGCTACCAGATTCTCCTCTCTCTCCATTTTGTTCATGTGTAATGTTGCTGCTAGGAATTCTCCGTAGTCTATTGTACCGCTGTTGTCGATATCAGCCTGTGACCACAACACACAGAGAGGATATTAATACAAAACAAAACTTTGAAAAGAGATTGAGAGAGTCCAGTTGGTTTTGGTGTTATTTTTGCATACCGCGTCCATCAGAGACTTGATTTCTGATTCCATTAGTTCAGATCCAACTCTCTTCAAACCCGCTTTGAGCTCTTCAAAAGTAATCGTTCCGCTGTTGTCTGTGTCTATCATCTTGAATAATTCCTTCAGACCTCCGATTTCTTCCTCTGAAAGTCTCTCAGCGATTACCTGTGGGAAAAAATCACTTGTGTTCAGAGAAATCAGCAAATGGGTTGGACATAACGAAAAGGCAAATGTGTATATTACACAAATTTATACCCGTAAGGCCATTTTCTTAATCTTATTCATTTGAGAAAACTGCTTTAGACGCGATAAGACTGCTGGATCAAGAGGCTTGTCTGGTGCTGCTTGTTCATCGACAATCCATGGGTGACCTATAACATTCAGACAAAATTCACAACTCATTACTTACCACAAAACAGTAAAGAGCAGATGATTCCACATAAAAACCAAAAATAAACATACACAAGGCTTCATGGGCAGAAATGCGTTTCTTGGGGCTCCTTTCAAGCATTTTGTAGATCAAATCTTTAGCAGCTTCAGAAATACTAGGCCACGGGTCAGACTTGAAATCTAACTTTCCTTGCAATATCTGTCTAAAGATTCCGGACTCGGTTTCTGCAACCCCCAAGAGAAAAGAATACATCATTCAGAGTTCAAAGAAAAATCGAAACTTGCAAGTAGTAAAAACTGTATATACTAGTAGACTCACCAGCCCAGAAGGGAGGAACACCACTGAGTAAGATGTAGAGGATAACACCGGCACTCCACACATCTATTTCAGGTCCATAACATTTCTTTAGGACCTCTGGCGCAACATAGTAAGGGCTTCCAACTACGTCATATAAATATTGTCCTGAAGTGTAAACAAAAACCAATTAGGCAATGAAACTAGCTTTGGCCACACCTATCTGGTTTTCACCAGCAAAGAATATTTCCAATCAATCCATGAAGTTTCAGAGACATAATGAAGAAACTCTATACAAAGTAAAGCTCCATCTAAGTAATAAACAATCCTCAAGCAACAAAATGTAAGTTCAGCCAAACCTACACAACCAACAACCTTATCTCGATTTCGATTCATATAAAACACAACAAACCTGATTCATCAAGAAACCAAAATTTGACCAAATGCAGAATAATTCCAATCAACACATTCAGAGACTCCTCAATGAAGAACAAAACAATACGAAGCAAGTTCCCAAACTACATCTTATATACATTGTCCTGAAGAGCAAACAAAAACCAACAAAGCAATGAACCAGAACCAGAAGCATACCCATCACAGATACAAGCCAAACACAAATGCAGAATGATTCCACAATCAAAAAATAAAAGTTTCAGAGACTCAATACAAAGCAAAGTTCCCATAAACAAAGAAACAATGCTCAAGCATGAAACTTTGAATCCATCATCAAATAGACACATACCAAAACCAGTTTCTAACAATAAAACCAAAGAAACATGAAAGATACGATCACCAATTCCAAGATTAATCAAGCCAAAAGACAAAAATCGAACCTGGCTTATAGAAGACAGACAAACCAAAATCTGTAGCCTTAAGCTTAGCATCTTCTTTAGGGCTATCAAACAAGAAATTCTCAGGTTTGAGATCTCTATGCATAACACCAAGAGAATGACAAGCCTCAACAACACCAAGAATCGTCTTAATAAGCTTCACAGCCTCACGCTCACTAAAATGCCCTTTAGAAACAATCCGATCAAAAAGCTCACCACCTTCACAAACCTCCATAACAATATGAACAAATACCGAATCCTCATAAGTCCCCTTGATCCGAACAACATTTGGATGCTCAGAGAGATGATGCATGATCTGAATCTCACGCCACACATCCTCGTAATCCTCGCGGCAAACGAGCTTGCGCTTGGGTATCGATTTGCAGGCGTAATTAGCGGAGGTTGATTTCTCCGTGCAGAGATAGGTTGTTCCGAATTGGCCTTGGCCTAGCTTTTTCCCCAGGAGGTAGTGATCTCTTAATCGAGGTGTTTGGTATGGGAGAACTGTGTTTGAAGGTCGTCTAGGGTTTGGTTTCGACTCCATTGTTTTGGGTTATTTTTTTTTTCTCGATCTCGATTTCAAGATTTGTTGTGAGGAGGAAGAAGAAGAAGAAGAAGAAGAAGATGATAACGGACTTTTTCTTTGTTTTTCCTAAGAAGATGAACAAATCGCTCCCTCTTCTCCATTTTTTTTGACTCTCTCTCTTTATATCATTTTAATCACATTTTTTTATTTTAATTTATTTTTTTGTTAATTTTCTTAAATGACATTTTAGTGACATTGTTATAAATTTATAATCATGGTAAGTTTTTATAAAACTAAGCTTTTTTTTTTGTGGTTAAATTTTATACATTCTGTTTCACTCACACATGTTATAAAAAATATATTTAATTTTTTGTTAATATACTATTTTATTTGATATAAAAAATTAATAAGCTAAAAAAATAGAAACAAAACAATACAGAAAAGTAATATGAAAAAAAAATTAATTTTAATACGACAAAAATAAAACTAGAGAGTTTATTTCAAGTTTAAAAATATTAAAATTAATTGTTTATATAAAGTTGTATATTCATATTTTCCACATATAGATTTTTTTGTGTGTGTTTGTGGAATGTAGGATTAGGATTAATATATATGTAGGATAGACAATGGGAAACATAAGTGTTAAATTTTTTTATTTCATTTTGTGTAAGTAAGAATATGAGTTAATTAAGTTAGATATTTCTTGTTTCTTTTTGTTTTTTTCTTTGTTTTTGGTTTTTTTTGGCAAAACTAGTGGCGCCATCAAATTGTAAATAAGTACATTATTTTGTGTGTATGTGTTTTATATAAATAGTATAATATCAATAAGATAAACTATCAATAACATAAATAGTATATATGTTACTTCTTCAAAACCAACACAGATAATTTTTATTTTGCTATTTTGTTAAAATATATGATAAATGTTTATTCTCTTATTTATGAAAGGTTATAAATAAAGTTTCATAATTTAGGTATATAGTGCATCTATCCTTAATCTACCATGTTAACGGAGCGGATATACGGTTTTTAGAGATATTTATATATGTATCTTGTATCCGTATTATTTTTGTTTATAGTATTTGTATATGTATTACTATATTCGTTAAAAAATTTGACTATTCGCGGTATCTAAAAATATTTTCTAAAAGTATACCGTGTATATTTAACTAAAATACTAAATATCCGTTTCTAAAAATTGGAAATCCTTTATCTGTTCTAAAATTTAAAATTATCCATATTCGTATACGTATATGAAATATCTGTCATTTTGCTATCTTTATCCGTTTTTCTAGATATTTATGTTTTTTAATAAAAACGAATACAAATATAATTATTCGTGAACACAAATATAAATCTTAGGACAATGTAATACTTATAATCAAAATTAAAATGATTTTCTTTTTCTAATTCAATCTGAGGCGGCCCAACGTTAGAATAATTATAATTATAATAATTAATAACCAAAATACACGTATATGCTACCAAAATAAAATAATAATAACATATAATATATATTAGAAATTTAGAATAAAAAGATGAATACTTTAACAGTTTAACGTAAGCCAATAGATTGGCATAATAATACTCTGATAAATATTATTATTGTCTAATTGGATTGGCTAGTGGGTGGAACGTACGAAGAGAAGACTACTCTGACTTGGTGTTGTGGATAATGGTGAACACGTTTACATGACTTGTGTGATTCTGTATCCCACTTGTATTGTTGTTTATTTCTTCCTAACTTTATTATTACCAACGCCAACTACAAGTAGTAGTAAACCATATCAAAAACAAGTGTTTTATAAAAGTCATTATAAAAACAAATTTGGTGGTCCTTTCAGGAGAAGTCGACTTTGAAACATTTCGGTTCGTTTTTACCGAGGCTGACCGGATTAGTCGTTAGAATTTATAAAAAAAAATGTCATTATAATTTCCTTGTTTGGTCTAGTTATTGAACAACGAAAACTAAAACTTTATAGATTAGACCATAATCCATATGAATGCAAAGAACATTTTTGTTATAGTTTATTGTTTGATTTTCTCCTATATTTTTAAGGAATCATGCTAGAAATATTGTGGAATTGTGTTAACTATAAAAAACATATTTCATGGAGTCTTGAGTTATTCTTGAGTGTTTTCTAGCATTTCTTTATCGATCATCTTCTTCGAGTTCTTCTTGATCTATGATTGTGAGAAGACTTTCTGTAGTCTTGGTAAACTTCTCCCTCAAGGAGTCAAGGGCTTGGTTCAGTTTGTTTAGTTTCGATGTCCTAATCAATATTGCACCAAGATTAAGAATATTTCATGATTTATGCCATTCTAATTTATCAGTCGATACCAATCACTGAAAATGTATCGTTTACATAATTAAAAACTATAATTAGTTTATTATTATACTCCAAATTTTTTTCTATTTGGGTATATGCATCATTTTATGTTAATGGTTCGTCCTACAATGCATCACTTACTTACAAATAAAAAAAAAAGATAAAACGAATAGTTAAACAACAAAAAGAAAATCATAGATGGATCACTAGAGGCATCAAGATTTATACCAAATAAGAGACTCACCAAAATAAAAAGAAGTATCCACAGTGTCCTTATCCAAACGTATTCACATTGAAGAATATTAATCTATAACGGCTCCATGCATTAAATACAAACTGTTAGCCACATATTCTAATAGTAATGTGGCTTAACAAATTCTAAAAGCTAGTTCAAAGGAGAAGAATTATCACATCCTATATATATTGTCCAAAATTTTTTATCCCAAGCAATGTGGGATTTTGGACTCTAATAGCCCTTCTCAAGATGTGGGTGGGAAACGGTCCAACACGAAACTGTCTGAATCCAACATCTCGGAAATAGTACAGCAAGACATGCCACTTATATGGGGCCACATAGGTGGGAATACCATTTTTATGGGAAATTGTTTGTTGGGCCTTACCATGGGCTTTGATACCATATTAGTAATGTGACCTAACTAATCACAAAAGCTAGTTCAAAGGAGAAGAATTGCTCCATCCTATAGTATATTGCCCAAAAATCTTTATCCTAGGAATGTGGAAATTTAGACTCAGATTCAGACCAACAATAATCATTTAGGAGGTTTCCTCCGTACTTGATTTCCACCTCACAAGGCTCTAGTTTCCATATCAGACAACACATCACCATCTAAAACTGAGATTTCTTTCCATAAATGATATTTTCTGATCGTTAAAGGTCCTTTATTTTGAGCTTATGAAAGTTCATAATCTTTGTTCTTTTGTCTAACGCACCTTCTAAGTCATAACATTAGTTTGTTCTTCGAAAACATTTTCGTTATTGATTGATTTGTTGAGTCCCTTATTCCCCTTAAATAAAGCCACAAAACTGGTTATTCAATTCACTTTCATCATATCACTTCAATGATTCTAGAAGCACTAGTTATAGGTTAAAATTGTAATACTACAAAGTTGGATATCATACTTCCAAGTCTCAGACTATAAAACAATGGTGATTGATTAACCTATAAATCATATAAATAACCATCTAAAATCTTTATACTTTGTTACTCGACTTACTTAGGCAACGATGCATATAGTTCGGTCATTGCCCTTAAACTTTCATAAGTAAATAGTATTTGCTTCTTATGACACAATACTTTTCTAAGCTAGGTTCCAGTAAATATGCAACACCAAGTGCTAATAGCTCAATTGGTAAAGATCTCTAGCAAAAGCTTAGAGGTCGCCGGTTCGAGTAGCGCTTGGAACAAAACCATATAACATGCTTTGGTATCGGGATTAAGGGGATGTATGGGCTTCGGCCCAGAACCTCTTTAAATATTCAAAGAAAAAAATAAAAAAAAATATGCAACTCGGTTGACGAAACAAGAATAGATGGAATCAGGAAGTGGTTCATAACGCTAACGAAATGGATTAACGATGAATTTAGAACGAAACAACAAGTATATGATCTATAAATCTCCACCTAATCTAATTAATCATCTCCCCCTTTAATTATCCCCTTAAAACAACAAGTAAACTACTCAAGCATACTAAGGGAACCATCAAAGCAAGGGTTAAGTAATTCATATCAATAAAACGAAAAACAACTAAAAATGGTTTAGAGACTGCTTCAATCAAACCAATATGAAAATGTAAAGACTTCCCCTTATGAATCTAACACAAGGAATGAGAAAAAATAAGTGATCTGGCAAACTCCAAGGCTTCAATGATAATCAAGAGAGTGTTTTCTTTTGTGATCATTGGTTTTAATTTTATAATAGTTACAATCATTTGTAAACGTAACATATAGTTCACCTTAAAGAATTTCTTTTTTCTTTTTTTCTTTCTCTTTAAGTTTTACCAAACCTAAATCCAAACTAATTTTGACAAGTCTACATAAATCATAATTACCTCCTCATTTTCTCCGCTTTAAATAACTGAAATCGCAATAAAAGAACTGTATGGTGATAGTAGTTCAGACTTTTTTAATAAGAAAACTATAATCGTTAAACAGTTTTATATTTTCTCATTTAATTTATTATTTGTAGCAAAACAACAAAAGAAAGAAAAAAACGTATGAATGAAAATACAAGACTTGTTTCTATCTATTGGTGCAACAACATTTGTTTCCGAAAGATGTAGCACATCTCCCAGATGTAGCACATCTCCCAGATGTGAACCCAGCCTTCCTACAATCCGCCGCACATTTACCATCACCGTACGTCGGCGAACAAGTGTTCTTGCACATATCATCAATTCTCCCAGAAGGTTTGATCTCTGCATGTCCACAAAGTCACCACATATGAATATCGTATATAATCATATCTACGTTCTTGCTTTGACACGATGAAACCTAATCAGAAAACATTACCTGAAGCCAAGATGTTGTAACTGGACAAAAAAGCTGCAATTATAATCAAGAGTAAGAAAGTCATCGAAGTCTTGGTGTTGCCCATTTTCTTGCTTGAAGTATCAAACTATAAAGTTTATTTACAAAATATGTTATGTGAGTTTCTAGATTATAAGTAGAAGCTATATTTATAGAACATTAAGGTTTTTGTGATTGTCAAAAAAGAG